TATCACCCACGATATTTTTTAAAACTAGTAATGAAATCTCGTTTTATTTTGATTATTTATATTCAGATTTATTCCCAAAAATAAGTTCTGACAACTCTCAGTACCACATGAAAAAAATACCAATGGTTCTGAAAACTCTGAGTACCACATGAAAAAATGCCAATGGTTCTGAAAACTCTCAATACCACATGAAAAAATGCCAATGGTTCTGAAAACTCTCAGTACTACATAAAAAAATGCCAATGGTTCTGAAAACTCTCAGTACCATATGAAAAAAATGCCAATGGTTCTGAAAACTCTCAGTACCACATAAAAAAATGCCAATGGTTCTAAAAACTCTCAGTACCACATGAAAAAAATGCCAATGGTTCAAAAAAGCCCCTAGCTGAATTGGGGAGGACCATGTGAGGGCTCCACCTCTCCAAGCCTTTTGTGAAAGATGCTCCTGGAGATTGCCTTTTCAGAAGTTATGTAAATAAATAACATTTTTTGTTGTTGTCATGGTTAGTAGCCTATATGATCATCTAAGTTTGATTGTTAATCGGTAACTATTTATATAAATACAGTTACTAACTAGTTTTAACCTACGTTTTGCTTGCTAACCTTCAAAGCACCATAAACCACAGACAGGTTCCCTATGGCTTGGAGAAAGCTAATAATAGAATACTTATTTTAGATTCTTAAGAAACTTATAGTTTGTCAAAGATTTTAATTTTTTTGTCACCCAAGAACAACATTTCTGTAAAATACATGCACATACTAAAACTCCTTAAAATACTGAAAATACACACACCTGAAATGAATCTGGATTCTAAAAGATATATTCAACATAAATATTCATACGTGTCCATTCTTTACAAAAGTGGCAGATATTATTTTGTTGTTGTTTTGCACACTTAATGCCTCTCAAACGCCCCCTAGTGGCACAGCGGTATGTCTGCGGATTTACATCGCAAGAATCCGGGTTTCGATACCCGTGGTTGGTAGAGCACAGATAGCCCATTATGTAGCTTTGTGCTCAATTAAAAAGGTACGTGTTTCAAAATGCAAGTATGCTCTCACTGATTGTAGGTAAATATTATTTCTGTATGTAGTTTAATTAAAGCAGAATGGTAACACTAAACGAGGTAGTCTATATTGGTCCGGCCCTTACTATTGCTTGAAAATTACAATCAAAACTGGTCAAATAAAAACACAAGATTTAAACTATACTGTATATAATATTTCTGGTTTTCTAGTTTCATAAGTACAATATTTTGTAAGATACGGAAGCTCTACAAAAATACAATATTAATTAACTTGCTGTTTAGATGTTATCATACATAGTGGGCAAATATAAAGTATTAAATGACAAGTTTCTGTTACCAGGGGTGAAATTCTGCCGGTACTATGTACCGGAACATATTTTGAGCTGCTTTGTCGTTTTTTATGTTTACACATAGATTTTTCTTAAACAGGTCCACTTCACCCAGTTGATTTTTTTTTTAATTTCACCCTGTGTATTTACTAATAAATGTGTTTTATGTGTTTCTGTTATGGCATTGGCATAAAGATTTGAATTTTAATTATCACCAAAGTGAATACTTAAAAAAAAAAACATAATAATAATAATTGAGTATTTACATGGCTGTTATAATGCAAATAGGAAAACCTGACTGACAGATTAATGACTCGCAACAAAAAACAAGAGAAAACTGTCTCGTGTGCAAACGCAATTTAAATGAAAATATCAAATGAAAACTGCTCACATCTATTACAAAAGGGTGACATATAACTCTCATATTTGCTAATACGTATTACAGGTGGGTTGCCATGTCGCGTGCTTAAAAGGTGTCGAAATTTTCAGTTTCATAGTAAGGCAATAGATGGCAGCACCAAACAATTTAATAATACTGACAAATTTACGTATAGCCATAACGTCTTATACTTACGCATGTCACGATGTCAGTGCATTTCTTTAACACTTGGGACAATTTCTTTTTTCGTGCTATTTTACTAATAGTATGTGCGGAAAACTACATATCCAGCTCCGCCCTTGGTGAAAGCCCAACAGATCCGATGAAAGTCAACAAGTTCAAGTGAACTCTTGGTCCATGATTGGCTTTCTTTTCGAAGCTCTTGTAATGTTTTACCTTAAAAGTTTTGTTGGTTATTTTAAAGAGTATGTACCCCCCCCCCCCCCCAGTCTTTTTTTTTCTCTTGCAAACGCGGAAAATACTAATAAGTTGGCAAAATCTCTGCGAGGATTTTCAGTAGCGTTCATTCTCCAAGAAAATTGTTGTAAGACAGGAGAAGTGAGGAGATGTAGCATTCAAGTCGAAAAACTTGTCCGAAATGGCAGAGCAGTTGCGTTACTTCTTCTTTAAAATAGCTCATCAAATTCCCCTCACTATAGATCCGACAGCAATCCTCTAAAGTGGCAGTGGATTGCCGTTTGGTCACCGTGGTGTTTTTGATGATCGTTCTGGCACGGGCCAGAGTCCGCCCTCTTTGAGCCATCTTTGTTAACAGCCGGCAGACCTCTTCTTCTAACCGAGTAGCCTGGCATGGTCTGGTGGTTAGGGCGCTCGACTCGCAATCTGAGGGTCAGGGATTTGAATCGCCTAACATGCTCGTTCTTTAAGTCGTGGGGGCGTTATATTGTGACGGTCAATCCCACTATTCGTTGGTAAAAGAGTAGCCCAAAAGTTAACAGTAGTTGGTGTTTACTAGCTGTCTTCCCTCTAGTCTATCACTACTAATTTAGGGACAGCTAGCGCAGATGGTCCTCGAGTAAATTTGCGCGACATTTAAAAAATAAACAAACAAAAACGTAATCAGGAAGGTGGCGCTGGGCACCATCGTAACTGATCATTTTTCTAGTTATACATGGCCCAGTCCTTGGTTCATTTGGCAGACATTTATTGAAAATACACTTTAGAATTTGAATACGTGTCACTGTTGGGACTATGGTAATGGTGGGTGGGGTCATTGGTAGATTGACCATCAGCTGCCATTAAGACAATGCTCGGGACCTCTTAATTGGTAGCCGCTCGACTGATGATGACATTAGGATCCCGCATGATGGTCATCGAGGTGGTGACCATTTCATTTATGCTCAAGGCCCTTGCCATAGTTGATGGCGGTAGTATTGTAAGAAACAAGGTATTTACAGCCAGCTGGCTCCTGGCAATGATGGTCTCACTGGTGAAATTTGCTGTAAGAGTCTCCGCCGTTGTTGATGATGTTGCTTTCCAGTCCTTGTCAGACATCTCGTCCCTGTCTTCCCAGTATTCAGCCGCCCCTCAAATGAAATGTTTGTTTGTTTTAGAGCAAACCAACATTGAGCTATCTACTGGGACCACCGCGGGGAATCAAACCCCGAATTTTAGCGTTGTAAGTCCGCAAACTTACTGCTGTCCCACTGGGGACCTTTTAAACAGGAAATATATAATACGTATAATAATGTCAGTATCATGATAAAATATAAATATCTTAATAAATGTTAATAGTTAAGCTTGGGGAAAGGGGCATGAAATTTCTTAAACTTACGTCGTAAAAATGTATAAAAAGTGATGAGAAACAAGACATTTCGACCTAGTTTTATCTATCACTTTATTCCCTTTTCTGTCGCCCTCCTCCCCAGTGGCACAGCGGTACGTCTGCAGACTTACAACGCTAGAATCCAGGTTTCGATACCCGTGGTGGGCAGAGCACAGATAGCCCATCGTGTAGCTTTGTGCTTAATTACAAACAAACCAATTATACCCTTTTCTTATTGCAACATCATATAATTAAAAAATCGTTTAAAAGTACACAAAATGATGACGCAATCATAACTGAAAATACAAACGCCATAAAACTAAGTGCTCTATAAAAAGAGTCACATAAAATGAGCATAATTTTTGTAAGATTGCCTATATACTCTGTGTGCGTGAGAATGTTGATATCATAACACTTTACATATAAAGCGACAGGTTCCCTCCCCCTCCCTAAAATGTTTAGTTATTTCAACTTCCATAGTTTTGGTGAAAACAAATATATATTAAAACGTACACTTGTATGCACACAAAGAAATAAAGGGCAGACAATTCTTATCACACGTGGTAAGCGTCAATCAGAAGTTTTGGAAATATTATGATGATAAACATCTGTTTGAAACCAAATATGTTATTTCCCAAGGTCTATATCACCGCCTCAACATAGATTTAAAATGTTATTCAAACTGTTACCAAACCACTGTATTTTTTTTTACCGTACTTAAAAGATGCAATCCCAATTTTGAGGTCTATGTTATACAATAGAACAATACACCAACTCAAAGGTAAACATCTGAAAATTAAAACAATATAAAAATATTCATCATTTACATATTAATTATTTGATAATTCATTAATGTGATTAGGCTACCGAGTGATTTGTAGGTTATTTGGTTTAAGATCTGCTAGAAGAACTTTCTTTTTTTACGTCATGAATTGTTTTATGATTTTCAACGTATAAAATAGTAATTACTCTAGACGTACTTCCGTAGGGTTCCCGAAAGTATTCTGTTTCATAAGCATATAAAACCAAAATTAGGAATAACAAATATTTTTATTTCTTGCTTTTGAAGTTCATATGTCATGCTGTGTTGTAGCCTACAGAGTGATTCCTGCATGCGCACGTTTTACTGACGTCACGACAGTATAAATTGCAATGTTAAGCGTCCCATATATGACGTCATTTTAGTGTTCACTGACTGATTAACAGAGAACACACTACTGTATAATAGTGCGAGTGGTTATAGCAGGTAACGCCCTCTATGTGGCCTTTGGCCCCCTATCGAAAAGAAAAAAAAACGGGTCAACGTTACACAGACTTTACATTATTTACCGTGGAAATCATCAATTCAATTTTTTTTTTACTAAAACTTATTTACGGTAAACATGTATGGCGTTTTCAAATCGTGAGTCATGGATTTTTGTGTAACAATCTATGCAAATATTGATTACATAACACTAGAAGAGTGTGGGAAGCATAGAAGCTTTTATCACCTGTTGATACACTTCATAGAATTATCTCTCCCCAAAACATTTACTTGGACCCACAAGTAAAGGAATAAGCTTGTAAGAAAATGGTAAGGTTTTATTCATGGTATTTTAGGGTACAAAACGAACACGTATGTTTTACCCTAATTTATAAACGAATTCTACGACTTAAAAAAAACGGGGAGGGGGACTACAAGATGAATTCAAAACGAGCTACAAAACTGCTTTATTGCCAGTAAACGTAATTATATAACAGTAATATTTATAGGCTTTTTTGGGTCCTTTATAATTCACCATACAGTAACCTAAATTAATTTAGGTATGTGAATAATATTATGGCATTGCGCTTAGTTCATTATTATACAGCGGACCAATTGTTTAATGATTATATGAGAGTACGGCCAATCAAGGAATGTGTTAGGCCTCTACGTCACAGATTCTCTTTTCAATTTTACGTCTGGTGAAAAAGATACGAAATATTTAACATGTATATATCCATTATATTATATTTTTAAAATATAAAGATATTAAAGTAATTATTGTAAATCTTTCCACAGATTAAAATAGGTGTACCAGTATTATGCCTTATTATCTTGGTATCTGTTATTTATGGTAAGTTTTTATTCATTCACTTGTATTATATTTATAGTCACGCATAAAGTTTCTGTCTTAACACGTGTTACATGTATATTATATCATAAGTTATTTCAACTTGAAAGTTCAGTAATTAATGACAAATTCATTTAAAAACATTGTATTATTTTATGCATTGTTGGATTACGTTATCCATGTAAAGTAGTGTTTACTATATTTTAAAATTCACTGTTTTTTCTTCGTGTAGTGTTGTCCCAGTGGTCAGCAGTAAGTTTACGGTCTGTAAACGCAAAAATCCAGAGCACAGGTAGCCCATTGTGTACCACTGCGCTAAAACAACATTATTATATTTTTGTACAATAATCAAATTGTCTCTATAATATTGTTGTAGCCCATGTTTCTAATTTGGATATTGTATTGTTGCTTATACAGGAGGAAACTTGACGTAAACCTTCTCTGAAGCTCAGGAAACAGAGCCATATATAAACAAGAGGGAATCCTCAATAGCCATGGCACTTGAAATTATTTTAGACAGGATTAGAGTAAATTAATCTACGAGACCTTTTTTCCCCCCTTTTTTATTGGCTATATTTTTGTGCGCCAGCAAAACCAAGCGTGGGGCGCACGTTTATTAGTCATCAGGAACTTTTTTAGCCTAACCTCAAATTGAAATTATTTTAGGCAGGATTAGAATAAGTTTTTTTTTTATGAGACCTTAGGCGTGGTCAAATAAATCAGTCGAAAGGTTTTGACCTCCTGAGTCCAAAGCTGTAATTAGAACTGAAATCGGTCAAGAGATGACGGAGCTATGAGCTAAAAGTTTATACTTGAAAAAAACAAAAAAAAAAACAGAGCCATTCTATGAGCCGCTATGCCGCGGCTAAAAAAGCGAGTTAGGCTAGCTTTAATCAATAACTTTGTTAGTCAGTTAATGAGTAATCAGTGCCTTATTTAGTCAGTTTAGCTGTTACTGCCAGCAAGTTAGTGAGTCAATTACTTAGTTCAGTACTGTGGATATCTGTTTGTGTTTCGACGAAGAAATAGAAAAATGAAATTAGCGAGTAAGTGGAATTTATTTGTGAAGTTAGGCCTATCAGAGATATTTGCGCTAACCGAGAAATGAAACGTTTTTTGTTATCGTTAAGTGTACTGAACTGGGTATTACTTTTTTTTTTTACCTAATAATCTAAAAGAACCTGGCCAGCAATAAAAACTATACTTATTTCTCATTTCCGTTAATAGGTTTAATAACATCCATTCCATGTTCTATTTTTTGACCACGTAGAACTTGTGTGATAATCAAAACTCTTTCACGCAGGTGGTTGATTTCTAACCTGAGAAAAATCAGTTTTTGCTCAAACGTTTGTGAAATTTATTTAAAAGTTTTTTAAACAGTTATAATGTTTTATGGTAACTTCCATTAAAGTAGCATAAACAATTTAAAATCTGATTTTTAAACTGTCACTATATTATTACTTGGAAGATAATTATGCAAAAAGTTAGGGTGCTTAGATTTTTGAAGAATATTATTAATAACTTCTCTAATCTTTTTAAACAGTAAAGTTTTTTCGGGGAATTTTTATGTAAGCAATTCACTATTCTTATTTAAAAGCAGTCTGATGCTTTCTTCACAAAAATAGCTAATAACGAATGTGAACCAGGACACGACTGTCCAGACTACACTACGTGCTGTCCTCACTCGACCGACAAATACAGATGCTGTAATGCAAAGAACGCCGTTTGCTGTGGCGACGAGAACTTCTGCTGTAAGACTGGGTCCGTCTGTGATTACATAATAAAAACATGTCGTCAGTCAAAGTCTGAGAACATTCTTTTTTTCCACTGAAACTCTGTAAACCTGATTCATAGTTAAGCTTTTTTTTTCTTTTTCAACAACTGATTATATGCATGTATTTTCAATAAAAATCAGGTTACAAACAATAATGTTTCAGACATTTTGATTCAATCTTATAACAGTAGGTGAGTTATTTTAATGTGGTGTCTAGCTTAGATTTAATTTTTGCATTAATGCTAGTATTTTGATTTTATTTTTTGGTATACTAATAACTGTTTTTTTTTTCAAAACTGCACTTATGATATATTAATTATGCATAAATAATCTTTATATTCACTTATTAGCTGGAGTACTTGTTCCCTGGACGGAAGTTATGTAAATTCATGATTAATGAAAGGTTATCTTACTCTTAGGACATGAAAAGTTGCTTTACTTATATGTAATTGTGAAAAACGCCCATAAAAACTGCAAAACATAAAATGTGAAACCGCAAGTTTACATGTATATCTGCATGGACCTAACCAACCTTCATGCCAAATTTGGTGAAGATGCATCAACCGGAGGTGAGGTAATGGTAAAAAAAAAACGCCCATATAAACCGCAAAACTGAAAAATTTGTATGTATCTCGTCGTGGATCCAACAACCTTCATGCCAAATTTGGTGAAGATCCATCAGCAGGGTCTACACTGACAGAGGGTTAGTGGTGATCAAACCGGGCTCTAACTTCTAAATGTAAGAGTAGTCTGTGGTTGCCAAACTTAACAAATACAGCAAATGTAAAGAAGAACAAGGAATACTCAGAAGTCGCTCTCAAACTTTCAAAGAACTCTCGTTCAAACAAAAGTAAAATTAACAAATAAGAACAAAGCACGGCAGAAACAAGTGATTATGAGTATGAATACACCAATAGCTGAAAAACTGTGTGAATTGCAAAAATCTATGAAAACTTTATAAAATTGTGATATAATGCCTAAAAATCCGCTCTTCAGAGCCACGATACTGTCTTAAAGTTAGTAATTCACTTGAGCGCCGTCCTACGTCCAACAGAGGAACTGTATCACGTATTTAATACATTTGTATACGACTTTCTGTTTCATAATTTTCTCAAAATGGCATCCAAAGACATATCCGCGCATAGCCTCCTCTAATTTTGAATTAATAGAAGGAATGCAGCTGTAACTCTTGGGTTACTAATGGATGACCGAATAGTTGTATTTGACTTTCATTCTCATAGCGCTTTCACGGCCTCAAAATGCGAAGCATATTTTTATGGCAATAGGTCAAAAACCTTAAACCTTCAGATTCACAGTTCTAGCACGCTATAAACGTGACCACAGTCGACCCTATTATATAACACCTGTTTTACACAATCAATTTGGTAAGTAAACAATAAATAAAATAATTATTGAAATCAAAACATGCGTTATCTTATTACGAAATCAAACATTAAACAGTCGATGAAGCATAAGCAGATTTTACGGATGGTACGTTGAAAAGTTGCATAACTACGGAAAGGAAACAGTGGGCTACTTGTGATCTGCCCACCGCGGGTATCAAAACCTAATTTTTAGAGTTATAAGCTTTCAGACTTATCGATGAGCCATTCGGGGGTGGGGCAAAAAATATAGAACGACGAAAACTGGTTGGTTTGTTGTTAAGCTCAAAGCTACACAATAGGTTATCTGTGCTTTGCCCACTATAAGTATCAAAACCCGATTTTTAACGTCGTAAATATGCAGACTCATTGCCGACACTGAAGGGCGAAAGAAATTGCATCGTAGTGTATAGATCTCGTTGTGGTTCGGCAAGATTTTTAAAAAATCAGGTGACTCGGAACTAAAGTTTTAGAACTACTGGACTATCAGTTTCAAACATGGTGGTTATTAGCCAGCTAGAAAAAATATAAATTTAAACTATCACGACAACAAATAAATGGTAATTAGATTGGTAACATGTATATTTATCTAGAGATATCTGACGAATTTAATCTTGAAATCCAATTACGTTTGACTGAACTGGCCGAATCTTGTCAAGCGCTTACTTGACCTTTCATTAAAGAAAAGTTTGAAAGAAAGTTTACTTAAAAGTAGGTTTATCGAAACATTATAAGTAATTTAAATTTGTAAGTGTTTTGATTTATTTATAATATAACGTTTCATTATTAAGAAAATATAAAATATTTCTTGTCAGACCACACGGTAGGTCCGGACGGAAGCATATGCTGCCCTCTTTCGGATACAGATCGCATATAACTGGAGTAAAACTTTTTTTTTTTTTTTGAAGATCAAAAAACTTGGGTCTGTAAATATAATTCGGTTCTGTTCCTTGCGAAGTTCTGTTCCAGAATAAGCCACATCTTAGTAATGTTCTTGTACGTATTTTTTTAGCACAAACATTTGTCACGTGACATTTGCTTGTATTATATAGATTGGACGTTCTTAAAATGAAATGTTTTCAAATACAAATTTTATATTATTATTATGTTTTGCTATCCAGTTAGAAAATGTATTTGAATCTACTACACAAGAACCTATTAATTAAGATGCAAAAAATAAAGCTTGAGGATGAAAGTACATATTTTATAAGAAATTTTGGTGGGATTGATAAAAATATAAATAAATCATCAGTCGGTCTTAGTGCCAAACTAAGCACCCTGTCCATCGCGGGAATCGAACCGCGGATTTTTGCGTTGTAAGACCACCAACTTACCGCTGACCAGCCGGGAGACTGTAAAAACAGCAAAAAAAGAGTTACATACATATTAATTTGTTTTTAAAGTTACAAACAGCACTGGCGTTCTTCAGATGAAATCATTGTGTTTTAGCGTAGTACCTACTGTTTAAATTAATTTACTGTTTCATCACTTCAAAGGTCGAGCGTGGCCTAATGGTTAGCGTTCCGGACTGTGAATATGATGGATCACGATTCGCATTCCATTTTCGAAAAATCGTGCTCACAACTTTGGGGCCGTGGGTGCGTTATAAGAGTAAAAGTCAAATTCCAGCTATTCGATAAGAGTACCCCAAGAGTTGGCGGTGGGTACTACTATTGTTTAGTTGCCTTCTTTCTAGTCTATCAGTTCAAAATTAGGCACGGGTAGTGCAAATTGTCCTTGTGTAGCTTTGCGCTAATATCCGAAACATACAATTCATCACTTAGATTCAAACTTTTTTTTATCCGTACTTATAATTGTATGTATTCAGCCCCCTCCATCCAATGGCTCAGCGGTACATCTGAAGGCTTATAACGCTAAAAAGTGGGTTTCGATACCCATGGTAGACACATGGTCTAGCTAGCTTTATACTTAACAAACAAAATGTATTCAGCGCCGCAACCACGAATTTTAGGACTTGTGACAAATTATTTCAGAAGCCCCCTCACAATCCAGTGAGCACACATTGACAGGATACCCCTTGTAAACACCTTTCCATTTACTTATTTTTCCCATTTTAACAAAACTTCACTTACTTGCTACCCATGAAGAAGACATATGTTTAACTAATTAAAATACAGTAAACCTATTTGAACCATTCACTTCCTATTTATTTCCCCGAAAGGAGGCCGACTGTCGCTTGGAGGGGTCACCTGTTATAATCACTCGCACCCCTATACTGTAGTGTGTTATCAGTCAGTCAGTCAGTAGACACTAAAATGAAGTCGCATAAGGGACGCTTAACGTTGCAATTTGCACTGTCGTGACGTTATTATAACGTGCGCATGCTATGGATCACGAGAAGAATTATGCGCTCTGTAGGTTACAACACAGCACGACATATGAACTTCAAAAGCAAGAAATAAAAATATTTGTTACCCTTACTTTTGGTATTATTTACTCTTGAAACAGAACACTTTCGAGGACCCTGCAGAAGTACATCCAGTACAAAATCATCTTACGTTCTTTTATGTATTTTTTCCCGTTAGCGATTAATCCCCTATTTACAATAACTAAAAACAACTATCTTTTTTCTCTTATGCAGATATACAAGAAGAATGAATTACAGACAGCTGCTTAAATGCCTGTTATTATCAAGGAGGCAGTCAGGAATTTTGGGGTTTACAGTAGCACGTGATTTTGTGTGCGAGCATCAATTCGTGAGGTCTGTCGCGTGCACACGAGCAAACGGTTTTTTAGTTATAAAGTAACGGGAAAAAATGAAGTTTACAGTATGATTTCAATGTAAACAATATCGTGACGTTGACTAAAAAAAATATTTCCAGAATTGAAATAGAAAAGTGTTTTACCAATATAACAATAATGAAAAACAACATGTTAAAATCCGCCTTTCCACCAGAGATCGGGGGTTTGGGGCAACGTACCCTCTCATCGCCACCGGCCCGGCATGGCCAGGTGGTTAGGGCGCTCGACTCGCAATCTGTGGGTCGCGGGTTCGAATCCCCGGCACACCAGACATGCTCGCCCTATTAGCCGTGGGGGCGTTATAATGTGAAGATCAATCCCTCTATTCGTTAGTAAAAAAAGTAGCCCAAGAGTTGGCAGTGAGTGGTGATGACTAGCTGCCTTCCCTCTAGTCTTACACTGCTAAATTAGGGACGGCTAGCGCAGATAGCCCTCGTGCAGCTTTGCGCGAAATTCATAACAAACAAACAATCATCGCCACCACCAAACGGCGTCCCTGTACGCATTTGTGTGGTTTAAATCCGGATACATATTGCTGGAATGCATTATAATTAGGGACGCATGGGTAGTAATATCTGGCCGAATATCGGGTCCGACCGGGGCCAGGTTCTCCCTTTGCCCCCCCACCCAAACCGAAAAAAAAAACACAACAAACAAACTAAAATAACAAACTAAGTTCGTACGTTATAACTTAACTTAAACTAATACTACACTACAACTAAT